TGCAGCAGCCAGCTGTTTGTCATTGAAAGCTCGAAAAGGTTCGCTGTCACTGACTTAGAGGATCTTCTGAATTCCTTCAAGGACCACAAAGCTTCAGAGTGAGATTTTGTTTGAATAAAGGATCCATGGCTTAATAAAGATTTAAAAAACCTAATCCAGCCGGGGATTTAGCTCAGTGGTTCTGCGGCCTCGCTGCAAGCACAAGGACCCCGGTATCAAAAACAACAACAACAACAGCAACAACAACAACAAAAACAAACAAAAACCTAGTCCAATCTTTTAAGAAAAGTAAAATAGGGTCCAAAAAAAGGTAAATTATTCATTTGTAGCAACAGTACTTCAAATCAGTTGCAGGATGGGATATCTACCAGCTCTGAACTTTCTTGAGTTGGAAACAATTCACTGATCTGCTTGATATCACACATCATTTTGGCAGATGACCAGGCACTGAGAGCAGAAATAATCAGAATCCACAGACACTAGCCAGGAGGGCTGGCCAGCCCTGATTGAGTACGGCTACATTTTTCTACCTTACTGTTTAAACTAGCTCTCCGTGCCAAGACAAAGACACCTCTAATTCCTCTGAGGCTGGCCAGCTGCCTCTTCGAGAAGAAATCATGGGCTCCGGAGGTATGTTGGCTCTTACCTCCCTAACTACCACTAATCATTTTTTAAGACCAAGGGTTCAGCAGAATCAAGTTATCAGTAAATTAAAGGATTTGTACAGAAAAGGAAAAATATTCTTTTGGTTAACCCCCCCATTTTGATCCTTCAGGAAATAAATGCTACTTCGAGCTTTGGAAAAGGGACACCTATATAAAAAGGGGCAGTTTACATTCATAAGATGAGTCTGCAGTTAGTTTTTTGGTTTTTTTGTTGTTGTTGCTTTGTTTTTGAGACAAGGTCTTGCTATGTAGCAAAGGCTGTCCTCAAACTCACAGCAATCCTCCTACCTCAGCCTCTGGAGGGCTGGGACTACAGGTGTGCACCATCACACCTGGCTGCAGTTTAGATCTTTAAATTGAGAAGTGACCAACATTCCAGAATCTGGAAAGGCGGGCCTAAATCTTAGTGACACCTCTTACGAGTTGTAGACCCTTAGCATATCTCAAATCCTTGGAAACTCAGTTCTTCAATTATAAATAGGGAATCATAATAAAACTTCAAGAATGCAAGGTTCAAAAATCCTCTTCTGAATCCCAGCCATTTATCAAATACACTGTACCGATGTTTACATATGAGATAATTAAGGCCACATAATTTTAAATTACTTAACCCTACAGAACAGTGGAGTTAGAAATGGAAACAAGGGGTTCAGTACAGCACAGGCACAACTGGGTCCAAATCTGTACTTCCTTTTTCGCAAATTGCAGAATCCTGGGAAAGTTTCTTCACTAGCCTCAGCTTCCTCACCATCCAGCACATTGAGCTGCTGTATGGGCTTGTTTACGGCAAGAATGTAATAGTCCCAATTTCTCCCTCTCTCCCTCTCTTTCTCACTAGGTATGAAACAGCTCCAATTTGCCACCCTCCTGCCTCAGCCCCCCACAGTGCTAGGATTACAGGTCTGCACCACCAAGCCAGACAGTTTTTTTGTACAATAACTCTCCCCCTGCTTCAGCACTGGGGATCAAACACTGGACCTTGCACTTTTGAGGCAGTGGCACCACTGAGCTAAATCCCCAGCCCCATAGTAGTTCTCTTCTAAGCCCTCTTTTCTAGTCACCTCTCCAAAGCAAGAGAAGCTATTAGCAATGCCTAAATTATCTCTCAGCTTCTGAAAAAGTAACAATGAAACTAGAGCCCCAAAAGGAAGGAATATGAATGAACTGCACCCCAGTTGTATCGTATTAACACCTAATTCTGGAAAACATAGGCGTAATACGCTGAGTACATTATACCACTGTGCACTCTTTCCAAAACAGACAAAGTGTACCACCTCCATTTTAGCCAGGCTACTCTTACTCACTACTCTTTTATAATCTAGGTGCCATGGTAGGGTGCATCAACCAAGCAGAAAGTGCAACAGGAAGGCAACTCTGATGCCATATGCAAATCACTGCTTTTTTGGTAAACTCAACCTTTAATTTTTCAGCAAGCTGTTTTTGTTTTTTGGTACCAGAGATCAAACTCGGGACCTTGCATTTGTGAGGCAGGGAGAGGCACCACTCAGCTATATCTCTAGCCCAAACCTTTTTTTTTTTTTTTTTTAAACAGTCTGTGTAGTCCAGGCTGGCTTTGAACTCACTATGTAGCCTAGGCTGGCCTCGAACTTGCAGCACCCTCCTGCCTCAGCCTCCCAAGTGCTGTGATTACAGGCATGTGCTACCGCCCCCAGCTACCCACCTTTATCATACAGACATCACTAAATTCCCCTAGCGGACTGCAATGCTTGTCTCTAGTGTGTCACTGCACTTGATACACACCTTCATTCATATAGCAACTATCTAGAAGTATTTTAATAGGCTATTTACATGTCTCCTCACTGGCTTGTAAATTGGTAAAGATCCTGTCTTACTCATCTTTGAATTCACAATACACAACACACGGTAGATCCCCATATCCATATGAAATTTTTGATTTTTACCTTCTCTTTCACTAGTGAAGACTGAACAGAAAGAGGGAGAAGGACATCAGGAGAAACCTGCACACACAAATTAAGGTCTGCCTCAACAGACCTCTGTTCTTTCAGATTCAAGGGATGCCTATTTTGGCTTCTCAGGGTTACTTTCTTATACACACGAAGAGAAGAAAAGAACCAGTTTCTACAGACTTTCCAGGCAATAGGTTATATTCTTTCTGAAAGAATAAAACAAGATTTCTAGATGAATGCTAGTCATTTCATATTTAGTGGACCTGTAGGCAGGACACTCAGGAAAGTATATTAATAGTAGCTCCTAAGTCCTTAAAACAATATTTTTAAAAAATAAGAAGCAAAAATCAAAAATGTCTTAGATGAAAACTTCTGCTCTTTAAATTAACCTTGATATATGTAACTAAATCTCTTTGAAACATATGTAATCATCTAAAAGGAAGCCCATGGCTAACAAACCATAAATAATAACTTCAACAGTTATTTTTTCAAGCTGCTTTCAAATATATCTTTTTTCATTTATGCATTCATTTATTCACTTGCTTCTTCCCCAAACTTTTAATTTTTCCTATTCAGGTTTCTACAATGGCAGTTTGCAGATGGTGATTTTCTACTTCCATCATTTCTTCTACATTTATTAACTGGCATACAGAAATGCTGTTTCAAGAAGGAAGGAAGGAAGGAAGGAAGGGAGGGAAGATGGATGGATAGATGACAGGGAGACAGAGAGAGAAAGACAGGAAGAAAGGTAGGTAGGCTGGCCAGTTGGCCAGTCCTTCAAATATATCTTATTGAACCATAACCAAATGTAATAACAGAAACTTAAAAGTTAAAAGGGGCCTTGGAGGTCATTTCCACAACCACCCCAACTCACCAACCGATACCTAAATGCATCTAGTCTCCAGTGATTGGGAGATAGGGAACTGCAATGCTAAATTCCTCTGTGCTTTGACCACCTGTCAATTTCTCAGTCTCTTCCCCCGACTCTGATGATCCCAAACATTTAAACCAATCAAGTTAACCCACCACCAAATAATAGTCTTTGCTTCCTGAGTCTACTTCCTTTCTGAGCTTCATCATCAGTTCTCTGCACTCTCCCTCTATATAACAGTCAGGGGTTTCTAAGATTCTGACCCCTCAGAGATCCCACTACTTCCACCCCGACAATCATCTTCTTCCTGTCCCTCCATATAATCTCTACCTATACGCTGTCCACTTAAAGACCACAAACAACTGTAATTATCACAGTTCCTTAGGCCTCCGATTTCTTCCCCTTTTGCTGCCTCTCTTCAGCCCTGTATTTTCAAAGTCAATGTTTCCTTCCTCCCAGTAGGCCTTCAGAAACCACTTACCAGTAATTTATTGTATCAGTCGTAAGACGCCTATTAGATAGGTAAATGCTATTAGATAGACTCTCAAAGTTCTCCTTCAGGGAACTCAAAAACAGAGGGGGGGAGGGGAGAGAGAGGGAGAGGGAGAGAGAGGGGGAGAGAGAGAGAGAGAGAGAGAGAGAGAGAGAGAGAGAGAAGGAGAGACAGACACTGATTATGAAGCTGAGCACAGTGGAGGCAGACGGACCGCCAAGTTCAAGTCCTGCCTGGGCAACTTAGTGAGATGCTGTCTCAAAATAAAAAGTAAATGCATAAATAAAAAAGAGAAACTATCATTTATTCTTTTAGATGCAACGAGTCTGGGAAGCCTTCCTAACCCAAATTAAAATGATTCCCTCTAAGTGTCACCAACCTGCTCTGGTGTCATGACTAGTCTTCTTGTCTGTCTTCCACCACTACACCGTAGTCTCCACAAAGAGAGGACAGGTCTCTTGTCCCTAGCACCTACCTAGCCTAGGACCCAATGCAAAAGTGTTTGTTAAATGAGTGAATGATTTCCGATATACAATAACTCATTCGTTCTTTAATAAGTTGATCAAAGTCCTAAAATGCGAGGATAAACAATAAAACAGTTCCTACGTAGAAATGCCAAAGCTGTTACAGTAAGCACTTTCCCAGTCTGCGTTCTCGACCCGCACGGCAAGCTTATGGTCCTCTTCCACAGTGAAAAACCTGGCCTATCCTTGCAGAAGTCCACGCCCCTCCAACTCTTTACCTGTCAGCCCTGCAGTCCTACCCTAAGACACCCCCCCCCCGATATCTAAAAATTTTAACACTCTGACTCCTCAGGCCTCTCTCTCTCTGTCCTCTATCTCTACCCCTGAGGGCACTGCAAGTCTTCCCTAGTGACTGCTACAGGGTTCCCGAGTCAGGAGTCCCTCGCGCACTCGCACCCCGGTCACATCCTTCTTCCCACTTAGGATGCGTCCCGTCTCTCCTAGGACTCCCTTCCCCAATACCTCACTTCCCCTTCCTTCATTTTTAGGCTGGGTCTGCCCTTTCCTCGTGTCCCTTACCTCATCTAGCTCCCGTTCCGCAACAGCACCTCCTCCAACCTCCACCTCCACCACTGCCGCCATCTTCAAGGCTCGCCCCCTCTCCGAGTCCCCGCGCTAGCCAGCTGCTTCCGCCGCTCAAGGGCTTTTAGCCAATCAGTGAGGCGGACTCCGACAGAGGGGGCGGAGCAGTAAAATTGGTTTAGCCCTGTCAGGGTCCAAGAGACCGTCTATCTGTTACTCGCTTCATTGTTAAAGAAGGAGGATTCCTGTGTTTTCGAAGCTTCGGCAGGAGAGGTACTTGGATAATAAAACATTTGTCTTGTATTATTTTTAGTGCAACTATTTCACAAATCGTCTCATTTGGAAAGCTAAAGGGCAACGTTCCCAAATGAGAACTTTTGCGACGCTCCCTTACTTGGGTTTAAGGAGCACAGCGTGGTAATTGAGGACTACGTTTCCCAGGCGGCCGGAATATGACCCGGAAGTCTAAATTGTGCTCTCTCGACGGGAGAATTGTATAATGAGTGAGAATATTCATAAAAACACACCTGTATTTCTCTAGCTGTAACTCCTGCTTTCTTGCCTCTATAGGAATCTCCCTTCACCCCAAGCAGCAGCTTCTTTGGGCCCCAGAACGAATTCCAGAGCTTCGGGAGGCGGAGAGTGGCACTCGGGAGTCAGAAGACTGAGGTCAGAGGGCGGAATTGGCGGGAAAATGAGTCTGTGGTCCAGATTTGGGACCCCTGTGATTCCTTGAGGATCCTGGATGAAGAGTGTAGGGATCTAGTGACTGGAAGAGAAATGACCGAAAAGGAGAAAGGGGGGCCTTCAAAGAGTGGATAGAGCAGCTGGGGTCTTCAGCTTCAAGCAGCTGAGAAGCGGAGGACTCTGGCAGCATCCGCACAGCATCCGGACTGATTTTTACTTAGGCTGCGGGGCCTCTTCCTACATCACGGTACTCTTTTCTTCCTCCACATCCTGCGTCGGCATCTCATACCCTTACCCGCCTCCTGTATGCCTCATTCCCTTCTCCTTACCCCCTCTTATACCTTCATTCTTTGTACTTCTGACTTAGGTACCAGAAAAGCTTGTAGCCCCAGTTCACACGCCCTCTGGGCTGGAGCTACCTCATGAATAGGACTAGGATGACCTGTGGGCTCACGGAAGCATAGAGTGCCAGTCAGCTTTATTTGGGGTCCAACAGAAGTTACAGGGTAATATTTATACCATCTACAGACATCTCACTTACTTAAAACAGCAAAAAGTTATTATATGAAACTTCTTAACAGCATTATAAACATTGTAAGCCCGTCATCGCAGATCGATTTTTGACATGATCCATTTGCCTCTTTTTCTTCCTTTTTTTCTTTCTTTTTTTTTTTTTTTTTTTTTTTTTTTTTTTTTTTTTGTGGTACTGGGGAATCGAACTCAGGACCTTGGGCTTGCAAGGCAGGCGCGGTACTACAAAGCTAAATCCCTGACCCTTGCCTCGTTTTCGTTTTTTTTTTGTTTGTTTGTTTGTTTGTTTTGTTTTGTTTTTTGGTTTGGGGGTTTTTTGGGGTTTTTTTTTGTTGTTGTTTTTGGGACAGGGTCTCACTATGTACTTCAGACTGCCCTGGAACTCACTGTGTAGCCCAGGTTGGTCTCGAACTCACAACGATCCTCCTGCCTCAGCCTCCTGAGTGCTGGGATTACAGGCATGCACCACCCACGCCTGTAATTGTTTCTTCCCTAGAAACAATTTTTATTATGAATTAACTGTATATTCTCCAAGTCCATTAAAATTTTTTATATGTATATCCATAAACAATATACAATATAGCATTGTTTCTTCTTTCCTGTGTGTATATGTGTGTGTTTTTGTTTCTTTTTTGGTGATGGATATCAAACCCAGGGCCCTGCCCATGCTAGGCAAATACTCTACCATTAATCTACATCCCCCAACCCCTTTCAGTTTTTTAATGAACAAAAATTCTATTTTCTATGTAATGTTCCATAATTTAATTCTTTCAGTATATTTTTGAGACCTATTTATGTTTATGTATATTTACATCTAATTCATTCCTAGATGTTATATAGTAGTCTTTGGTTTTTGGAGACAGGCTCTCCTATGTAATTCAGGCTGGCCTGAAACTCACTGTGATCCTCCTCCCTTGTCCTCCCAGGTGCTGGGATCACAGGTGTGTGTCATGACACTTGACTATATAGTAGTTTATTGTATGTTATATGGGATTTTCTTTGTTCATTCCTTATGAGTAGACATTAGAGTTTTGTGATTTTTTTTGCTATCAGAAATATTGTATGTCTTTTTATATACATAACTATCTTTAGATTATTTGAACAGACTTATTTATTTTCAATAAACTAGATACTAACCACGACTATTATTGTCTTGCATTGTCTAGTTAGATCTGAGACGTGCTGAAAGTGTTCATGAGAGCACCCATTTTCCCACATTGCTATTGTCAGTCTTTTAAGGTTTTTTTTTTTCTTTTGGTACCAGGGATCAAACTCAGGACCTTGTGCTTGCAAGGCAGCAGCACAACCATTGAGCTAAATTCCCCAGCCCATCGGTCTTTTAAGTTTTTACTGGTCTTAAAGGTAAGAAATGGCATTTGCAATTTCCTTTCTACCAGAGAGGCTAAGGATTTTTTATATGGGTTTTTGGTCATTCAGATTTCATCTTATGTGGATTGTATGTTTATGTCTTCTCCCCAGTTTTTTATGGTTTGCTTGCCCTTTTCTTATTGACTTTTAGTTTTTTAAAATATGTATTCTGAATAAGTATCCTTTTTCATGTAGCTATTTGTATTTTAACTGGTTTATGTTATCTTCAAGTACTGTTACTCATGTTTTAATCTACTTGGGTGTACTTTTAAAAATATATTGGATCTGCTTTTATTTTTCTTCACAATGTCAGCTATTCTGAACACTATCTATATATACATCCTTTTTGACAAAATCATGATCCTGCTGTAAAATTATAATCAACAAGTTGTAAGTTCCTATCTATGAGTCTTTTTCTAAAAATCTAATTGCAGGCCATGTATTTAGCTCAGTGGTTCCGCTGCCTGCCTTGCAAATGCAAGGTCCCAAGTTTGACCCCCAGTACCAAAACAAATAAATAAATGCAATAAATAAAAATCTACTTACTGGTTTTTATAGACAATATGTTTTAATTATGTAGTAGGGGACCTGACCGAGCTAATGTGACTCCATGTTGACCAGTTAATGACCCCAGAGATTATTGTTTCCCCCGCCCCTTATCAAACAAACAGGGAAACTGCTTAAACTGCAGAAACCTTCTTGTGCTAAGGGCTAACTTGATTAACAAGCCTGCGCGGGGACAGGTGGGATATTAAAGGCGAACATAAAACACTAACTCTGAAGGCAAGTGTAAGATAAGTAAAAATATCTGGAGTTTCTCTCCCTTGCAGTTGTGAGAAAACCCTGACCTATGTTTGAACTTTTTTGTTTAGAAAAACTCTATAAAACAACCTCAGCCCCTGAGCAGTTGCCTCTCTGAGCTGCTTGCCTCTGGGAGTGCCTTCTGGCCAGGCTAATAAAGGTCTATTTCATTTCCAACGTGTCCGGTGTGTTTTCGCCCCAGGTAATTCTCACGTGTGGCTGTTTAGCTCTTCGGAGCGGTTGGTAAGGCCTGCAGGTCTTACAGTAGCTATCATTTTTTTCAAAGGATTTGATTCCCTGATTCCCTGACTCTGAGCTTTCTTTTTAGAATTGTCTTAGCAGTTTGTACGCGTTATTGGTTGATGCATTTGTCATGGTACCCAGAAATGTCTGCTGAGATTTGTTTTGGTTTTGGTACTGGGGATCGAACTCAAGAGCTTGCACTTGTGAGGCAGGTGGTGGCACCACTGAGCTAAATCCCCAGCCCTGTCTGCTGAGATTCTGATTGGGATTATAGACCACTCTTTCAATGGATGTTTACTGATGCCTACTGTGTTTCAGAACATCTCTGAGGTGTAGGAGAAGATGAGCATGACAAAGGTCCATATTCTCAAAATCCTCAGTATGTAACAAGGGGGAACACAGGGCAGACAAGCAATTACCAGAAAACAAACAACAGCTTTTGTAAAGGTAAAGATGTCTGAAAGGGGCCAGGGATTTAGCTCAGTGGTTTCACTACCTGCCTTGCAAGTGCAAGGACCTGAATTCAATCACTGG